CAGCTTCAAACCTCAGAGTTTCCTTCAAAAGGTTCAAAGTATGAAGCTCAAATGAAAGATTTTTAATTAGGTTATAACAGTTGAGTCTCTTCATTCGTGTTTCATCTTTTCTTCATTACGAATGTAAACTTACGACCTCTGTTTATTTTGATGTTTCATTCTATTATCATGATTATCTGACTTCTTCTGTAGTTATCTAAACTGTCCACGCGTTTTAAAATCCTTTTGCTCTTTAAGCAAAAACAGAAAAACGTATAAAAGTTTGTGTGATCAGCTGACTGAGCACTCACACTTTAGTTCAGACTCACCATCAGGAAGCGACAACACTGTCTGACACTAAATCACTTTATGAATGAGCATCATCATCGTTTCATTTTCAGTCTGCAGTAAAAAAACATAAATATTTAACTTAAGAAGACGAGGTGACCGACAGTTCCCCGGTTTGTCCGTCCACATTCCTGCGTGAAACTGACAGGAATTTTCCGCACGGCCGTGTCAGTGAGGGTGGCCTTGTTTACAGTGCAAACAACCATGTTGTCATAGAAACGTCAATGCAAAGTAAGCGTAATTATCGGCCGTCGTTGGTCAGCCTGTTCTGCAAACTCAGCCGCTGAAGCTCAGGGAGCAGACACGACGCACAGCAGGTGCACGCCCGCGTCACGCACGCCCACACCGCCCATCAGGCACTGCAGACACAAAAAGGGGAAACTGGTCCACGCGTATCCTTCCACAGCAACGCCAACGTAGAGAGCGAGCTGAGGCCACCAGCTCCAACCTAGCTGCTCAGCATGTCTCCAAAAGTAGGGTCACCACAAACGAGCAGCACTACACGGTTCACCTTTCAGCGGCCTCGGCTCCCGTTTCTTCCCTAAAACCGTCTGTGGAGCTGTGTCGGCACGTGGCTGCAGATGAAACAGCTCACGCTGAAAGTAGAAATAAGCAGTAATAATCATATAAATGTGATGGTGAGAGCCCTTCAGGTGAGGATGCCTAAACGCTGTTTGTTGTGCAGGTAAGGTGGTGGAGGGTGCAGTGAAGAAGGGCATGAGTGCGTACGCACAGAAGGGGCAGAAGGGTGGCCAGGAGGGTGAGAAGAAGAAGGAAGGAGGAGGAGGAGGCGGAGGAGGAGGAGGAGGAGGAGGAGCCCTCAATATCGACGACGTGCTGTCATTCGACGGTGGAAACAAAAACGAGGGTCAGGGAGGTGGAGGAGGTGGAGCAGGTGAGCGCTGTCTAATGGAGCAGCATTTTTAAACATTTTGTGTTTAAACGTGTGACATCGTGCAGGATGGAAGCAGAAAGCTGATTTACAACATGGAAAACAGGCCAAATATTTAAATTTGATATGATTTCATTTTGAATTTGACGGCATCCTGTCGTGTTATCATCCAACAAAATCAAACCTGTACAGGTGAAAGAGGAAATGATC